AGAGAGGAACACATCGATTGGTTGTTTCCCGCACATGCCCCCATAGAGGCCAGGGTTCGAACCTGCAACCCTCTCCTGTGCACAGGCTGATGTTCTAACCACTGAGAAACATTTCCCAGGGCTGTGCATGGTTTTTCCAAAGCACAGTGTTGTCTGAAATTTTATTCATGTATATATTCCTTTTCATTCAAACAAAACTGATTTTTTAACAGATTTTTAGAGAGAGAGGAAAGGAGAGGGAGAGAAACATCTGTGTGAGAGTGAAGCATCAGTTGGCTGCCTTGTGTACGCTCCCTACTCGGTATTGATCCTGGAACCCGGGCATGTACCCTGGCTGGAAATCAAACCGGCACCCTTTTGGTGCATGGGATGACTCCCAACCAACTGAGCCACATCAACCAGAGTGAAACTGATTAATTTTAAAATATTTAAGCCCTTAGCAGATTTTCAACTTTCCCAAAGGCAAAAGGGTCTGATTGAGGCAGGCAGCCTTACCCACTTGTCTCTGTCTTTTCTGTGGGGATGAGAGCTTATGGTGAGCTGTCTATGGTCTCCAGCTCTTCTCCCAACCAGAGCCTGCCCTGGTCCCTGACCACTCCATTTCCCCCTTAGGCATCATGTGCATGGACCACCTGGAGGAGATTCTGAAACTGGTGGACGGCAACCCCATGTTGATGAAGGATGGCAAGTGGGTTGTGCAGAAGTATATCGAGCGGCCCCTGCTCATCTTTGGCACCAAGTTTGACCTGAGACAGTGGTTCCTGGTGACTGACTGGAACCCACTTACTGTGTGGTTCTACCACGACAGCTACATCCGCTTTTCCACGCAGCCCTTCTCCCTGAAGAACCTGGACAAGTGAGCCCCACCACTCATTTCCCATGAGCCCCCAGTCTAGTTGGGAAGCTGGCAAGAAACAGGCAATTCCAGTGTAATGCTGGGCTCCAAACACAGACTCTGTGGGCAGGCAGACCCTCCGTCCATCCTGCCATCCATCCCACCATCCTTCCACCCATCGATACTTACTGAGCGTGTCCCCTGTGCCATTCTCTGTTCCAGGCGCTTGGAACACAGTGGTGAACAAAACAAGAGCCTAGCTCTCATGATTCACAGTCTAATGGGAGAAACAGACAAGCAATGAACATAATAAGTAAAGTCATCTAATAGGCTAAAAGGTGATAGGAAAATAAAAAGAAATGGAGAGTAGGGTAAAGAGTGGTCTGGAGAAATCTGAGAGGAAAAAAGCAAGTTGCAGCATTAACTTGTGGGGTGAGAGGAAACATCTCACAGCTAGTCAGGGGTGAAGATAGGACTTGAGCACATGTCTTAGTGACTACAAGGCCCATACTCTTAAGCACCTTCTTATCTCCCAGGCACTGGGAGGATTAACTGACACTGGCCCAAAGCACTTAACATTGTGTTCTCTATAGTTAGTGCCCTCAGAAGAGGTCCTGAGAGGTAAAATTGGTTATGGGCCCCGAGCCTTCATCCTTGCCCTCCCCAGCAGAAACCCATCTCAAGTTGAGTGGTCCACAATAGTCCCGGGCTGGGTCTAGGGTTTGCCTGCCCTCCCCAGGTTTGGACGGGAGGGGCCAAGAGGCTCAGACCTCAGCTTTTTCTTCTCTGCCCCAGCTCAGTGCACCTGTGCAACAACTCCATCCAGAAGCACCTGGAGAATTCGTGCCATCGGCACCCGATGCTGCCCTCAAACAACATGTGGTCGAGCCAGAAGTTCCAGGCCTACCTGCAGGACATGGGGGCCCCAAATGCCTGGTCCGGTGTCATCGTGCCTGGCATGAAGGCTGCAGTGATCCATGCTCTGCAAACTTCCCAGGACACTGTGCAGTGTCGGAAGTCTAGCTTTGAGCTTTATGGCGCTGACTTTGTGTTTGGTGAAAACTTCCAGCCCTGGTTGATTGAGATCAATGCCAGCCCCACCATGGCGCCCTCCACGTCTGTCACCGCCCAGCTGTGCGCCGGTGTACAAGCCGACACCCTGCGTGTGGTCATTGACTGGCGGCTGGACCGAAACTGTGACACGGGAGCCTTTGAGCTCATCTACAAGCAGGTGAGGCGTCCGGGCCCAGGCACAACCCCAGGGAATCTTCATCCCTTCCAGATAGCCCCATAGTAATGCAAGTGGACAGACCCAGTTCAAGTCCTGGTCCTGCCCAGTCACTTAGTACATCTGCTTCCTCATCTGTAAGATGGAGATGCTACTACCATCTTTTTCACAGGGTGTGGGAGGATGAAATGAGTTAATTTGTATGAGTAATATATCCACAGAAGCTGGTTTCAAAAACCTCCCTGGTTTCAAATCTCTGCTCAATAACTACAAACTCTGTCACTTTGAACAACTTCTTAATCTCTAGGGGGTAAGGGGCCTGAGTTTCCTCATCTGTAAAGCATTAATGAAAACGGTACCTACCTCATAAGGTTGTGAGAATTAAATGAGTTAAAAGCACATTAGACTAGTGCCTGGCACATAGTAAATGCTACAGAGGTTTTAGCTATTGTTATTACCTAACTAGAGGCCTGGTGCACGAAATTTGTGCATGGGTGTGGGGGAGTCCCCTCAGTCCAGCCTGCACCCTCTCCAATCCTGAACCCCTTGGGGGATGTCCGACTGCTGGTTTGTCCACACAGCCTGCTGCTCAGTTGTTTGGTCGTCCCTCACTAACCCCGCTGCCAGCCTGGTTGCCCCACGCACCTCTGGGCTGCTCAGTCATTTGGTTGTCCCTCACTAACCCCTGTGCTGGCCTGGTCACCCCATGCAGCCTGTTTGATCACCCGTTTGGTTGTTTCTGTTGCTACGGTTTCTTAGGCTTTTATATATATAGATAACGTTGTTAGGCATTTCATTATAAATGGCATCACCTGTAAAAGGCCTGGATGTACAGAGAGTGAGTTAGTGGAAACTGCTGCTGCTGTTGTTATAGACACTCCTGCCCAAAAAGGAGGGTTAGGGTGAGAAGTACACAGAAATCATTGGTCCATAGAAATTCTGAAATCCAGTCCTAACATATATTTCTAGTTTTTCTATTAGGAACCACTGTTACTTCCTAGGAGTTCTCCATGGCTCTTGCTTCCATTCATTGGGATCTCAGTTCAGCCCAGAATCACCCTTCCTTCTCCATGAACATTCTCAATAGTTTCTAGACTGTTACCTGCTCATAGAAATTTGGGGTTACAAAAGCCTCTTTTCATTCTTATTTCATATTGCATCTGTCCCTTCTCGTCCAGGTTAATATTTAAAAGCCTTGTGTGTTTCTTTTTCTTTCTTGATTTTTATTTATTGATTTGAGAGAGAGGGGAAAAGAGAGAGAGAAACGTTAATTTGTTGTTCCACTTATTTATATATTCATTGTTTGATTCTTGTATGTGCCCTGACTGGGGATCAAACTCAGAACCCTAGCGTATCGGTGCTCTAACCAACTGAGCTTCCCGACCAGAGCCATGTGTTTCTTATATATCAATTTCTAATCCATTATATTACACAAAAGCCATGTCCACAAACATCAGAGCTCGTTTCTATTCTGTGAGACCGCTGTAGCACAACAGCTTCAAGATTGTAGAAGCCCTGCTGTCGCAGACCTCTCTGCTAACTCAAAACGTTTGAGAGACTGAAAAATACCAGTAAGACCTATCAGGCATGACTTAGATCTCTCTGAAATTTGCTTGTGGTTTTTAAAAATGAGATGTAATTGACATAACATTAATTTCAGGTGTACAACATAATGATTTGATATTTGTATATATTGTGAAATGATCACCACAATAAGTCTAGGTAACATCCATCACCACATGTAGTTAACAAAATTTTTTTCTTGTGATGAGAACTTTTAAGGTCTAATGTCTTAGCAACTTTCAAATCTACAACACAGTATTAACAACTATATCACCATGCTGTACATTACATCCCCAGGACTGACTTATTTTATAACTAGAAATTGAAACCTTTTGACCACATTCACCCATTTCACTCACTCCTCATCCTGCTGCCTCTGGCAAACACTAATCTGCTCTCTGTTTCTATGAGTTCAGTTGTTTTGTTTGATTTTAGTTTCAGTTTTTTTAAGATTCCACATATAACTGAGAATAAATATATGGTATGTGTCTTTCTCTGTCTGACTTTACTTATTACAATGCCCTCAAGGTCCATCCATGTTGTCACAAGTGGCAAGATTTCCTCCTTTTGGGGGCTGAGTAATAGCCGTTTTGTGTGTGTGTGTGTGTATCATTTTTATTCTCCATTTATCTGTCAGTGGACGCCTTGCTTGTTTCCATGACTTGATTTTGTAAATAATGCTGCCATGAACATGAGGGGTACATATATTTTTTCAAGTTAGCATTTTTGCTCCCTTTAACTTCTTGTTTTTTTTTTAAGAGAGAGGAAGGGGGGTGGGGAATAAAAACATCGATGAGAGAGAAAGATCGATCAGCTGCCTCTTGCATGCCCCCCACTGGGGGTTGAGCCCGAATTGAACTGGCAACCTCTTGGTGCACAGGATGATGCTCAACCAACTGAGCCACACTGGCCAGGCTGGATATTAACTTCTTATCAGGTATTTGATTTGCAGATATTCTATCCCATTTGGTTGGCCTTTTCATTTTTTTTCTTTTATTGGCCTTTTCATTTTGTTGATGGTTTCCTTTGCTGTCGCGTTTTTTTAGTTTGATGTAGTCCCATTTGTTTATTTTTGCTTCTGTTGCCTTTGCTTTTAGTATCAAATCCAAAAATCATCATGACCGATGTAAAGGAGCATAGTACATGTTCTCTTCCAGTAATTTATTCTTATAGGAATTCAAGGTTTCAGGTCTTATGTTTAAGTCTTTAATCCATTTGGAGTTGATTTTTGTATATGGTGTAAGATAGGGTTCCAGTTTCATTCTTTTGCATGTGACTGCCCAGTTTTCCCAAAACCATTTATTGAAGAGACTGTCCTTTCCCCATTTGTATATTCTTGTCATAAATTATTGTGTGGGGTTAATTCTGGGCTTTCTACTCTGTTCCATTGGTCACTATGTGTCTATTTTTATGGCAATAGCATACTGTTTTAATTACTATAGCTTTGTAAGGAGTTTGAAATCAGGAAGCGTTGATGCCTGCAGCTTTGTTCTTTATCAAGATTGCTTTGGTTAATTGGGGTCTTCTGTGTCTCCATACAAATTTTAGGATTGATTTTCCTATTTCACTGGAAAATGCCATTGGTGTTTTGATAGGGATTGCATTGACTCTGTACATTGCTTTGAGTAGTATGGACACTTTAACAATATTAATTCTTCTATTCCATAAACACAAAATATCTTTCCATTTATTTGTGTCTTCAATTTCTTCAATTAGTTTTTAGTGTACATGTCTTTCACCTTTTTCCTTCTTGATTAAATTTATTGCTAGGTATTCTTTTTATATTCTTTAATCTCTTTTATTTTTTATTTTATTTTTTTAAATATATATTTTTATTAATTTCAGAGAGGAAGGGAGAGGGAGTGAGAGATGGAAACATCAATGATGAGAGATCATTGACCAGCTGCCTCTTGCACGCCCCCCACTGGGGATCAAGCCCACAACCCAGGCATGTGCCCTTTACTGGAATCGAACCCCGGACCCTTCAGTCCACAGGCCAAGACTCCATCCACTGAGCCAAACTGGCTAGGGCCTTTAATCTCTTTTAATCTAGAACAGCCCCATTGCTCCCCACCGCCCCCCTAGTTGAACTAGGATCTTTTGAGGGGACCAGGATATTGTTTTGTAGAACTGTCCCACATTCTGGGTTTATCTGATTGTTTCTTTGGGGTGGTTTTTAACTGTCCATCTGTTATCTGAATGTCCTGTAAAGTAGAAGTTAGGTCAAACAGCTTGATGAGGTTCAGGTTAGAAGTTGGCAAGACCTCCTGAGAGGTGATGCTGGGAACTTCATTCAGTGTCACAAGGCACACTGACAGAGTGTCTTGCGATTAGTGATGCTAAGTCTGACCGTGGGGTTACGGTGGTGGCTACCAGATCTCTCTATTGTAAGCTGTATCTTCCCCTTCGTAACGATCAGTTACTTTGTAAGGTGATACTTTGGTCCTGTGCAAATGACACATTTTCCTGTCATCCTTTTCACCTACTTGTTTTGATATCCAGTTTTAATTCTAGCCTTTTGTATTAGTTACAAAATGGTAAGTTTCTAATTCTCTCTTTCCTTCTACATTTATTAACTGAGATTCCTCTTTCAAGATGAACTTTTCCTCAACCACTGAGCTTTCCGGGAGCTCTGAGACCTGGATTTTGAACAAGCTCCAAATGACCCTGTTTAGATAGATTCTAATCAGGATCCTTTGAGGACACAGAAAACACCTCAACCTAGCTCTGGGTTAAAAGAAGGGTTCTTAGCAAGACACAGGGAGCTCTCCTGGAGCCCAGCTGCAGGAAGTACAGCTTGGCTTTTCTTTTTTTAATAATTGTATTTTTATTAATTTCAGAAAGGGAGAGAGAGATAGAAACATCAGTGATGAGAGAGAATTATTGATCGGCTGCCTACTGCACACCCCCAACTGGGGATGGAGCCCGCAACCTGGGCATGGGCCCTGACGGGGAATCAAACCGTGTCCTCCTGGTTCATAGAGCTCAACCACTGAGCCACATCAGCCGGGCCAGCTTGTCTTTATAGGAACTGAAATTGCACAGAAGCAACTTCTCTGCCTCCCCTGCATATTTGCTACTTCATCCCTTCCACAGAATGCCTTCTTTAAAGCTCTTAGTTTCTGCTTCCACAAAGCTTGGGTTCAGGTGAGGCTCTGGGCAGGTTAAAGCCTCTTATCAGTCTGGGTGTCATAACTCAAATTCTCTCTGCAGAGAAGCCAGCTCACTTCAGGAAGCTTTCCGTCAGCAGTGGTCTGTGGCGTAGAGCCACACATATTCCAGCAGGAGCCAGGGCAGCTTCCGAGGGCAAGGAAGTAGAGAAGAGGCATGGCTGAGATTCCCCCGCTCCTCTGGGTTACTAATTCCAGGGTCTCGGCGACTCTCTAGGGACCGATTCAGACCCCTTAGAGGACAGAGACAGGCTTCCTGCTTCTCAGCCCAGAGGTGCCTCCTGACTAGGTGCCCGAGAAACTCATTCCATCGATCTCTGCCCTGAGTCTGCTGGGCCTAGGCTTCCAGCAGCACTGAATAGGCCTGGTGTCCTCTTCTTCCTCACAGCCTGCCGTGGAGGTGCCTCAGTATGTGGGTATCCGGCTCCTCGTAGAGGGCTCCCCCATCAAGAAGCCCACGGCGATGTGTCACCGGCGGACAGGAGTCCACACAGCGCTGCCTCACCTGCTGACCCGGCAAGGCTCTGGGGAAGGCAAGGACTCGGGGACCCTTAGCCACATACCACTTCCTAGGAAAGGTCCTGGGGCCAGGAACCTGGGGCACATCCAGAAGCCAGACTCCACTGCCACCACATCCGCTGCTGGGAAGGGGAAGAAAGGCAAGGCAAAAAGTGCTACAGCTCTGGTCCACTCCAGTGTCCAGAAGTGGGACCCAGCGTGCACAAAGATGGGCTGCATTTTCACCATCACCTTTGCTAGTGGGGATAGGCAACCCCACTCCTTGAACAGATTGCTATTGAGTCCGAAGAACCTCCAGACCCTGGGGGAGACCGTTCCCCCCAAACACCCCAGGCAATTTCTTCCTGCTCTTCAAGGACTTCCTGACCACCTGAATTTGCCCCCTACCCAGAACCTCACCAAAGAGCCACCCAGTAACGAGTAAAAGCCACCACTTACAAAGTATTTTTTAAAAATATACAACTGAGTATTGGCCCCTCCAAAAGAGTTACCTTGTGAGGCAGTTATTTTAAAGATGCCAGAACTCAACTGCAGGTAGATCTCTCCCCAGCACCCAAGTTTTTCCTGCCACAATGTTGTGCCTTTGCCTCTGGGGGAAAGGAATGACATTTGCACAGCACTGAACAGTTGACACTGTGTCGCTACCTAACCAGCTCCTTTAGTCCTCACAACCTAGCGAGGATTGGTGCTATTATCCCCACTTTCCAGCCAAGGTATCAGGAAGTTTAAGGACGTTGCCCAAGGTTGCACAGCTCAGAAGGGGCAGAGATGGGATGCAGACCCAGGTCTGTTGGAGTCCAAACCATGGCCTCTGGGAGGGCTCCCATCTGCCTTCATCTGCCCCAGCCTTCATCTCTCCCCATCTACACGCACACTTTGAGGGGTAGCTGGTCAGACTTGGGCCCTCCCCAGGCCTTCACAGCGCCTCTTGCTCCCACAGCCCCTTACCACTTCCCCAGCCTCCACAGCAAGGTGCAGCTGCCTTCTCTCCATGTGCGCCGACCCCAGGGGCAGGTCCTGAGACTGCAGCACAACAAGCTGATGGGCTCTCAGGCCCTGTTGACCACAGGCAAGCCCTTGATGATTCTACCTACCGCCAAGATTTTTATACCCCTCCCACCTAACCCCGAGCTCAAGCAGGCACCCATCATCATGAAACCAAGAAAGGTGGGCTCAAATGATGACTTGCTCCCTGGTGGGCAATGCTGAGTGCTGGGGTCAGGGCTTGAGGGCACAGGCAGAGGGCAGCTCCCAGGCTGGCTGGAACCCCAACGGGAGGGCTTGTTTCCCTTAGAATTTCCTTCCTGGACAAATTCCTGATCATCTCTTCCCCTTCTCCCCTCTTTTGCACCGAGGCTGTTGCTTCTAAGCGCGTTCACGGTCCTCATCGTGGAGGTGCCTTGCGGCCTCTACCCTTTGAAGTTGGAAAGCTTCCTAGCACACATAGGAGTAACAAGGCCAAAGGCGACTTCAAGGCCAGACTCTGTGACAGACCCAAGACAGAAGCATACCCCATGAAGGTGCTGAACCTTCCGGGCCCCCTGCCTCTGATCAGTGCACACCAGGGGTTGTGGGATATGGGGGATGTGAAGCTAGAGAAGCCCTTGCTTCAGGCCTCACAGTCCCTATGCCGGATACAGCACCAAATAAAAAGGAGCAAGTAAAGTATTGTTGGCTTGGCTCCATTTCTATGGAGGGTGAGGAGAGGATAGTGGGGGGCTCTGTACCCCAAAGCCCACAAGAGTTAGAGGCCATCAGCAACTCCTCCAGGAAGCAAGGCCCCGAGTTCCCACAGAGTGGCAGACATGGTGCTTCCTGCTCAGGAACTCTCTGAACTTTGGGTGGATAAGTCTTACTTTACAGATGAAACTGAGTCTGAATGAGGAGACATGGCTTTCCCAAGATCATGGGGGCAGTGGGAAGAAGTTGGGATACACTGCCAGAATGGCTGACCACTGGGAGTCCCCCAAACCCCCAAGACCAAAGGAGGGGCTAGGCTGGCATCTAATGCACACAGATTTACAATGTGAGACATAGCAGGAAGGGTGGACCTTGCCTGAACCCCAGCCCTTCTCCAGAGATAGTGGGTCTGTCCCTTCCTCACAAGAGGCCTAAAAGGAAGATATCCAACAAGCCATGTCCATCTGAAAAGTTAGGTATTTCTTAGTTGAAATGTATTGAATGGTACACCCCACCCCAAGATATGTCTACCTAGAACCTGCTAATGATTTTATTTGGTAAAAGGATCTTTGTAGATGTAAGATCTTGACAAGATCTTGAGATGAGATCATCCTAGATTATCCAGGTGGGCCCTCAATCCAATGATAAGTGTCCTTATGAAAAGAAGACACAAACACGAGAAGGTCATGTGAAGATGGAGGCAGAGATTGGTGTGATGCTGCCAGAAGCCAAGGAACGCTTGGAGCCACCAAAAGCTGGCAGAGACCCAGAAGGGCTCTCCCACAGAGCCTTCACCAAGAGCACAGCCTTAGCTATGCCTGACATCAAACTTGTGGCCTCCAGAACCGTGAGAGTTACAATTACTATTGTTTTAAATCACTTGGGTTGTGGTAATTGGCTGTGGCAGCCACAGGAAACTAATACACTAGGCCAGCGGTTCTCAACCTCTGGGTCGCGACCCCTTTGGCGGTCGAATGACCCTTTCACAGGGGTCGCCTAAGACCATCTTGCATATTAGATATTTACATTATGATTCATAACAGTAGCAACATTACAGTTATGAAGTAGCAACGAAAATAATTTTATGGTTGGGTCACAACATGAGGAACTGTATTTAAAGGGCCAGAAGGTTGAGAACCACTGCACTAGGCAAATGAAAATACATATACTCTGACCCAGAAACTCTTGCATAACAACCAGGAAATGCTTACTATCGGGTTCACAACAGCTTTGTGGTCTAATAGCCAAATGACCTAACTACTGTCCATTAACAGCATGGTTATCTTCAAGCACTGGAATTCAAATTCCACACCCAACAACACAGATGCATTTCTCAGTATGGAGTGAGAGCAAATCACAAAAGAACATACACAGCATGATCCCATTCATAGAAGTTTGGGGACTAGGCAAAACGAAATATATCATTTAAGAATGCATACATGTGGTAAAACTTAAAAGACAAGCAAGGGAAGAATTCTGTCAAGGCAGTGGTTCCCACCTATACTGAACCTCTTAGGGAGCTTTTAAGAGAGATCAATGCTACAGACAGATCAAGCCAGTATCTTTGGGGTGTGTAATCATGGGGATTTTTTAATAAATGTTTTTATTGATTTCAGAGAGGAAGGGAGAAGGAGAGATGTTTCCCTCTCCCTTCCTCTCTCTGAAATCAGTAAAAACATTAAAAAAAGAAACATCAATGATGAGAGAATCAGTGATTGGCTGCCTCCTGCACACCCCCTACTGGGGATCAAGCCTGAAACCCCCGCATGTGCATGTGCCCTGACTAGGAATGGAACCGTGACCTGGTTCATGGGACAATGCTCAGGCATCATACCGGCTGGGCAAGTCATGGGGATCTTTAAAAGCTTTCCGAGGAGGCTACGTAGGGGGCTTTATAATGTGGGTTAGGGTTGAAAACTGCTGCTTTAAGAGAGAGGATGTTTCTATTTCAAGCCCTGAGTAATGGTTATGTAGGTATCACCATATAATTATTCTTTAAGTCACAGAGATGTTTTATGCACTCTGTATGTTTAATCTATTTCACAAATTTTTAAAGTAAAAAAACATCTTTCTTACATGAGGTTCTCTAGAGTAGTCAAATTCATAGAGACGAAGGAGAATTGTGGCTATTAGGGGCAGGGAGGGGAATGGGGACTTAGTGTTTAATGGGTACAGTTTCAGTTCTGCAAAATGAAGAGTTCTGGAGACATATAATGGCGATGGTTGCAAAACATTGTGAATGTGCTTAATGCCCACTCAACTGTATACTAACAATGGTAAGAGGGTAAATCTTGTTAAATGTGTTTTACCACAATTTAAAAAATCTAACATTTCTTCCCAACTAGAATTGGGGCAGAAACAGCTAAATAGAAGGCCACACTTTGAACTCAACAGAAAGCATGGTTGATTGTAAACATTTACTTTTTCAGCAAATCCTCAAAACCATACTATGAGTTAGGTACATTTATTATCTCAAATCCAGAGAGGTGAAGTTATTTGTCCAACATCACACAGCAAGTGCCTGGCCAGGGTGTGATCTTAGGTCAGTCCAACCACAGAGCCCTAAACCATGACCTTACCGCATGTTGCGCACTGAGCTCATTCTCCAGCCTGCAGTCCCCCCGCACCCACCACTTTCCAGTAGGAACAGAAAGAGAACTATTGTTGGCAGAGCCCTAGGCACTGTAGGGTCCTGGAGAAATAAGAGGGCAAAGGTGCCAAAAGCTCTATGGGGGCATCCCTGGGCCTGCTGCCCGGGAGGTGGAGACAGTGCAGGTGGAGGTGCAAGGGCATCTGGGCCGCCTGGGCCGGCGTCAGGTGGAGACGTCTGAGGAGGGCTTCATCCAGGACCTGCGGTGGGAGAGGATGTCAGCATTCAGCCAGGTCAGTTCCAACCAGCTCTAACCAAAATGGGAATTAGACAAGTACTTCCTCCTCCCCTCCATGTCTGTAGCTATTAATTTCCTTTCTACGTGTGTACATGTAAACACTCATGCACGCTCACTATGGCAGGCACTGGCTAGGGGTTCATCAGTTCAGTTTTTGCCTGAGCATAGAGCTAAACTACATTTCCCAGCCCCTCTTGCAGTTTGGTGAGGACATGTGATTGAGTTCTAGCCAATGGAATGGGAGTGTTCGTATGTATGCCGTTTCCAGACCTGGCCCATGAAAATCTCCCACAAGAACCTGCACTGTCCCCACTTACCTGCTGGCTAGATAGCAACAGCCTGGGTCTCTGAGTGACTCCTTGGAGCAAAGCCCACCTCTGCCCCATCCCCCATTCATTGGATTAACCATGGAGGGAAACTAATGTGTTAAAGACTCTAGTACTTTGGGGCTAGTCTGTTAGAACTGATAGTTACCTAATACACAACCTCCTTTATCCCTTTTAGCAAAGAGACTCAAAGAACAGCAGCCTCAGAAGGGCCTTTAGAAATAAGCTAGTTCAACTTTCTTGGTGAACAGATGGGACAGATGAGGCCCAAGACGGGGGGGTGTCACTTGCTCAGGGCCATACAGCAAGACAGGGCTATAGTAGCTTTGGAAGCCAAGAGGGACTGCCTCCCAGTGCCCAGCTGTGGAGGTAAGGTCTGGAGATCTGCCCACCCTCGTCCCCCAGCCCACCCCCAGAGGGCAGAAGACAGGTCAGTTTGGGCACCTGTTTTTGGGGCTTGGTGCTGTCCGCTGGCAGTAGAAAGCGTTGGCCCAGGACAGTACCCACGCGGGCTGAATACCTGTGGTCCCCGAGCACAGGGCAGAGCTGTAGTACCATGTGAACCTGTAGCTGACTGGGGAACACTAGTAGATAGGAGAGAGACCAGATGGTTAGCAGCTGCTCTCTGTCCTACCCAATATCGTCTGTTCCCATTTCTTCCGGGGAAACACCACCCCATTCTCAGATCAGGTGGTTTTCGTGAGGCTGATGCTGCTGCCCGGGCCTCCAGAGCAGGGCACATGACCAGGTCAGGGTGGTCACAGCTGTCAATCCACCTGGCCTGTGAGATTTACCCATGAAGAGAGGCAACCCTGAATTCATTGTTGAAGCTACTGAGTATAAAGCATGTTTTTTCCTGCTGGGGTGCTGAACTGGTGGGGTATAAGCCTGGAGCTGCTGGAACCCTGGCCATCTCCACCTTCACCAGGGGAGAGCCTGTGGGAGAAAGAAGCCAACGTATGGGAGGCAAGAAGAAGTGGAGAAACAGCTTCCTGATGACATCCTCTGAGCCTCTGGTCCAGCCAAATTATGTGAGCCAATCAATTCTTTTTGTCTTAAACCAATCTGAACTAGCTTTTGGGAAACTTACAACCAAAAGTACCTTGACAAATACAGAAATGAGGGGGCTATGTGCTAGATATGGTACAAAATGTTTCACATATATAAACTTATTTAATTGTCATGACAACCCTGTAAGGTGGGTCATATTATCATCTTGGAAAACAAAAGCTCAAAAAGAAGTGACTTGCCTACCACCATAAACTGGGATTTAAACCCGGGAGCTGTACTCTGCTTCTATGTCTGGTAATAATCTAAAAACCCTCTTGCTATAAACCACCTAGAAACCCCAGGAAGATATAACAACAATCTTTTAAAGATACAATTGGGTATACAGGCAAGTAAGGTCCTCAAGACCAAAACACAAAAAGGAAAACAAATACAGAACACACAAGAGCCCACAGTTCACCTATTCTCGGAGTGCTGCCAATCCTGATATCCAGGGGTCTGGGTTCAAGTAGCTACCCCAGAGGCCAGGGATGAGCCCTTGCTGCCCCAATGAAAATGGTGGACCAGGAGAAAAAGCCAGCCACCAACGAAGGCAGATGATTACCTTAGGACTGGATAAGAGGAATGAACCATTCCTCTGAAAATTCATAGCCATGAGCCTGTTCTCACACAGGTTTGGGGCTCTACTACTTCTCGAATGATCTGTGAACTTGCAACTGAAACTAATATTTAGGGAGATCCTAAAGTAGTGATAGTCCTGAGGCATTCAGCAGAAGCAAAGGCAGAACCTCTCCCAAAGGGCCCACATCCAATGAGGCAATGAAGGGTTTCCAGAGTGCAGCAGAGATAAAGAAATAAAAATATATGAAAGAAAAGTTCATAGGGAATAGAATGAGAAGGTCAGACATGTCTACGGTATTAGGCATTGAAAAGGAAGAGAATGGAGAGAATGCAAGAGGCACAACATTTGGAAAGAGAACTTTCCAGGACTGATGAAATATATTAATCTTCAGATTCAGGAAGCACAGTGAATCCCAAGCAACATAAATAAAAATAAACCCCCACACCTAGATTTATCATAGGGAAATTACAGACCACTAAAGACAAAGAGAAGATCCTGAGATCAATAAGAGAAAAAGTTGATGAGCTACAAAGGAATGACCATTAGATTGATAATAGAAGACAAGCTGGGCCTGGTCACATACACCTTTGGGGTCCATCAAATGCTCCCCAGGCTGCTCCTAACACTACCACCTTCCTCCCTCTCCTTCACCTCCCCAGCCAAATGCAGTTCTAAAATCTGGCTGGCTGGGGCTCTAGACCCACCTGTTACTGGTTGCAGCTGGACCAGAGCGCAGCCAGGGCCTGTGGCCACCACACGGAAGTGGCTTAGGGTCCTCTTGACACCTTCCAGGATGTCCTTTCGGGACGGGGACTTCACTGGAACTACC